CGACAAAATTAAACTCGGTAACCTTTAAAGATTAATAATTCGTTCTTTTCCATTAATCGAAGAAATGTTCAAAAATAGTCTCGAAGAACAAAAAAAAATAAAATAAATAAAGCGTGTTCTGTTGTGGAGGGACCCACTGAAATACTGTTACCATTAAAAAAGGGGGGTCCTACTGAAATAGTGTCACGTGAAGAAATGTGTAACCTCTCCCGTGATGAGGCTGATCACGAACATTCCAGAGACATGAAAAACGTTCCAATATTTTAACAAGTCTATATTGATTTCTTCTAGTTAATCGATTTTTCTATCACTCTGCATTAAAGAAAATGCACTCCATTAATCTCTTGTTTATGGAGCAAAACTTATTAATTCAGTTTAAAAAATACATATACTTATGGAAAAGTATTTCTTAAATTTTTTGTTTTGTTTCTTATAGACGTAATATTCACAAAAAATCTTCAGTCAAAGGGGATTCTAATGGGTGGTAGATTGACAAGTTTATTCGTGAAACAGATTCTTCTTTTATTATTTTTTATTCCTTGACAGTTTTTTCAAAATATCTCTGAGTCAAATTAGATCTTTTTTTTTTCAATTTTAAATATTAAAATTTTTAAATCAAAATATGCTTACTTAAATTGCACTAAAAATCTGTAAATCTAACATCAAATGTTATTTTACTCTGCCTTTTAGTTGACCGGAATCACATATACATTCCTTGGCCAATTTATTAGACCCACTATAAGATTCTGTGAAACTATCAGGTGATACTATACAGCTTTACTGTTTTTACTCGGTGTTTTTATGCAAAATCATTTTTTGATCCGCTTGTAGTGTCTACCACTACAAAATTCCTATTCTACTTTGCTAGTATATAAGGCATATTAACTCTATGATGGGATACCTTTTCATAGATGAAAGTTGACACTGTCGATAACTACTATCCCCACATTGGTGACCCGGACGTGATGGAAAAACGCCTACCTTGGCAGCAACGCCCACTTCGATGAATGGTCCACATTGAACAGTTGCCACTGCGACATTATCCACTTGCTACTTGTGACTGCGACATTATCCACCGTTGCGGTGTTGCTACTCAGTCTCAATCACACATAGCGTCGTCCTGTATACACTCGACTGCTAACACAAGAGTGACCATGACCGTGAACTTAATACAGCTCTCACGATAAGCACTCAAAAAGTTCGGTGATTTTAATACAACTCTCCCGGCTTCTCGCAGATCAGCAATAAATCAACTGGTGGTATCCGTTCTTCAAATCCTATCTCATATAAAATTCTGGTGGGGGAGTACTGTAGTGTGTCTACCACTACTAAAATATAATTCCAATTCACTAGTATATAAGACATGTTAATCCGATTTTATGATGAGGTATTTTTTCGTAGATGAAGGTTGACATTGTCGATAAGTACTATCCCCACACGCTTAACCCTAGAGGACGGACGGGCATCATGTTTTGACCCCATACCTTCTGTAATTTCCGATTCCTAAAAAACTAGATACCTGCTCATCCCGTTTCAATTAGTAGCTGAGTTTTTCATTCTTATCTGCCTTTTGTGAATAACTCCAAGGTATTTCCGGCTTTTTCCTCCCCTAATAGACGTTTTATCAGTCACTGGGGTCATAGAATAGGTTTCTTCTACAAATTATTCTACTTTTCGTGGCTACCGAATACCGTGCGTTATTTTTCGTTTTCAATTAATTTAATTTCTACTTGTATGTTCATGAAAGTTTTGCTGTAATTAGTACAAGAATTGCTAGAAGGACTTGGTATGTCACCTATTAATGGCCAATGCCAGCGAATGTGCGGTAAAATGGCGACGAAGAACTTTCAAAAGTTTTTTTCGAAACTATCAAGGTTTTTTTTTGAAATTCTCAGCATACATTTAGATTGTTAAAAACAACTTATAAAAAAAATTTCGAAAAAAATTTTATTAAATTTAAAAAATTAAAATTTCGAATTTTTAATGTTTTTTTTTAATATTATTTCTCGCATCTAAAATTTTGTTAAAATGACAAAATTCTTTTAAAATATTACTTTATATTAGATAATATAAAAAAAAATTGTTGGGAGTACTTTTTGTATTATAGAAACAAATAACAGTAAAAAACCACCATTTTTGGAAAGAAATCATCATACCATTATAAAGTATGATGTATAAAAATAATACTATTTACTTAATTCAAAAAAACTTTTCCAACAAAATGTTAATAATATTCATAAATATATTTCATCATTTTCCCCCGGTTAATAGAATAAAATTTCATTTCGCTGGAGCAGTTTGAAATTTGTAAATTTGTCAAAAAAGACATTATGAGAAAAATGACTAATACTACTTTTTCATTGTAAATTTTACTTATTTACTCGCCATTCAAGAAATTTATTAATAGTAATTCAAGAAATTTAATCCAAAATATGAAAAGTAAAAAAAATGAAAAATTCTTGGCAAATTTTTGCTTTTTTGAAAGTCCCTTGTCACCTCAATCTCCGTTTGAATCATGAACCACAAGTTAAATGAAACACTATTTTACTTTTAAGATCAGTTGAATAAAAATCTTCTCGGAAGAAAGTTCTGCTCGAAAAATCGCAGACTACTTGAATTAACGATCTGTGTCCATTTTTTTTAAAGAACATAAAATTTCTGTGTGTAACAATTGTCTAATAAGATATGAAAAACAAAATATAAATATATATTCAATATATATTAACGCAATCGTATCGAGCGTAATATAATTTAAAATTAATTATCAGAGTACTAAATATTATGTTTTTTTAAATTTCGTAGCAAAATAAATTTTAAAAATCTTTAAACAGTTAAGGAATAAATATTTAACGTCTAAGACTCAAAAGTATTATATTTTTAATAAAAATTATAACGTTTTTAGCGCAGTATTAATTAATTTAATTAGGGGGCACTTCCATGACCCCCTAGCGTCTTAACGCTCGTTCAGGTAGGGTCGTGTTAAAAAAGAAATACGCAAAAAATAAAGCGCTAACATTTAAGACTATCAAACTTTTGACCATTTTCCTGATCAAATTTTAGGGACAATCTTTCCCAGATTGCAACACCCCTCATACTTTGAGGGGCATCATTATTCAACTAAAAAAGGGTATGTTGATTTAGCGAAAATATGTTTTGTGTCTGATTTCGTCCCGTAAAATATGCTCTGTACTAATTGGTTAGCATATTGATAAGGCCCTTAAATCATTCAGATCGAGTCTCTAAGTTCTTAGGCACGTGAAAATCTAATTAAATCAAAAGTCATTCAAAGTGTTCCATTTTAGAAATGCACTAAGTCTCTCACTACGAAGCGCTACTTCCATTACAAGGCCTGTATATTTTAGCTTTATTTCGCATTTTTATGTTGTTAGAATTAATTTTAAGAATACATCTGAGTGTACAGATAAGTACAGATGGAAGAATTACTTAATATATATAAAATGAGGAACAATTTATTGCTAAAAAAGATTTTATTACGTGATAACAACAATGACTTTTTTTTTAAATATTACAATAATTTAATATATATTTAAAAACACATGAGCTCATGTAAACAGTCTGGAAAGGTAAACACGTTTTAATGATTCTATTAGTTGGAAGTTGTTGAGAATTTGAGTAAATCACATAAAATATTTTCTATAAGGGATAAGATGGGATTTTATTGAAGGCAACATTACTCTTGTAAGAGAACACAGGGTGTTCGTAAAACACAGAATTTCTCTGTCTTGTAAAAAAATTTATTTTAATTATACATCCTATATTTTTGTAGATTTTGTCTAATATGTAGGTAGCTTGTACATATACTCTTTTTAAATATAATAAGCCTCTAAAGATAATGTGATTTTCCGGCACTCCACATTTTCCACCTCCATTGCCATGGTATCCATAAATCTTGCTTTTTCTCTACGATTCCCACTTCCTACTGAAACGTATTGAAAAAAGTATAATGAATCTGCTTTCTCCTGTACCCCAAAATTATGAAATCACTTCGAATTGTTTTCCCCGTTTAATAAAGAATTATTTTCAAAGTTTTCACTAAGTTTACCCGTGATATTGATCCCTAGAACCATAATAGGGTGCAAATTTGCTGCAACTTTCTTATGGTGCAAAATTTAACAATTATCTTTTGAGTTGAAACCAATTATAATTTTGAGTTACCAATAAATTATCTTTTGAGTTGTAGCCAATTATCCTTGCAATCTTTCTTAAGAAATACGTTATATCATATTAAGGTTTTGGCAAATTTAAACGGCATTATGGTTCAAAACGCAGTACAAATAAAAAGTCTAATAGTGTACCATTTATTGTTTGTGGACAATTTGGCATGTTAGAGATGACAAAATTTGTGATAATAATCCTAAAAATATATAATCATTGAACACCCTGTACATATATTTCGTGGCATTCTAACTTGGAAAATGCAACGCTTGCACGATTTAAATAACCACGGATCAATAATTTTTAAAGTTTCTTTTTCCCCAAGACTATAGTGTACAGTTCCTTTCCATATTATTAGACGCACTCTAAGATTCCATGTAAAATTATAATTATCAGGTGATACTCTATACAGCTGTATTGTTTATACTCGGATAAAACCGATTTGCATTTTTTTGCGCTCCCGTATCAATGGGTTAACATTGTAATGCAATACGTTACAAATAAATACTAATCTGAAGTATATAAAAAATCTCCTGAATTACATGTTTGGTTAAATATAAAATTATTGCATAAAATTCGTGCAAAACACGTTAAAACACTATAGTGCACTCTAATCATTTGGTCTGATTATTATAATATAATAATTATTCTATATGTATATAATATATCGTCTCATGCATCCTATCGTCCAATTTATATTATATATCGTATCATTTAACCCATTGATACACAAACGTAAACAAGTGCAAACAGTCGCTTAAAAACAATACAGCTGTATAGAGTATCACCTGATAATTAAGATTTTACATAGAATCTTAGAGTGCATCCAATCATTTGTCCAAGGACTGTATATTGTGCACAATTAAATACTAATCGACAGTATTTCTCAAGCAAAAGGATTGTTTTCAGATGCAAAATCATTATTACGTCTTCGGCTTTTTCTTTTCCATCCTGTTGAAAAACGGGAACCGATTTTCCAGAATGCCCGCTTGAAGCTCGCATTGCACAAGGCATAAATCACAGGATTGACAGTTGAGTTGAAATAACCCAGCCATATGGCTGCCGTGTGGACACCGGGGCCGAGGCATTTCTCGCACGCGGCAGTCACAACGAAAAGTATCATGTAAGGCAACCAACACAGTACAAATGCGCCGATGATGACGCCCAACTGCCTGGCAGCTTTTGTCTCTTGCCGGAGGCTGGCAACGCTGCGCCTCGAAGAAGGTCTCCTCAGAACACCTCTGGTAGCTCCGCAAAGAATACGAAAGCTGGAACTTCGACTGGGTGGGGCGTTGTTCTGTAGTTGGGGGACTTGCAAATGGATATCTTTTGCGCCGTTTGTTGGAGTTGTCAGTTGGATGCTAAAATAATAAAAAGAAAATAAGATGAGTCATTTTTTTTTCTTTTCCAAAAAACATAATAGTTTCAAAATAGAAACTGAAGTTGTTTCACTATTTAAGGTAAAACGTGTGATCAGAATCCAATTCCGTAGCAAAACACTGTAACTATAATACATTTTCAAAGTAAAACCTGTAGCCATTTTATAACTTTACAGAAATTTACAGTTTCAAGGTTGTTGTTGTTGGCTATTGTGACGCTTATCGTCACTTAATTCAGAATCACAATAAAACATTTAAAATAGATTTAACGTAAATTGCAAAATAATTGATTAGATTTAAAATACTGTGGAAACTTCCATTAATACATAGAACTTAAGCAAATACAAATAAACACTCCTGATTAAAGTTAAGAAATACGTGTCGAAAAGGGTTAATCACAAGTCTATAGTCCAAGTTTGATCTCTTATGTGACCTTTCCAGAATTTAGCAATAGTTCTATCGAGCAAAAAGTTTAGTATAAAAGATCCAAAAAAAGACAACAAAAAGAGCAGTAGTAGAGAGAGTAGAACCGAGTCATTAGAGGTTCACCAATTTCCACTATGAACCATTCATTCATCCACAGATCGGTCCCGCAGTGGACTGATCGTTAAGACACGGTTCCCAGCAGATCACCGAAGTCAAGTATCACTGGCTACGGTCAGTGTGCGGGTGGGTGACCCACTTGGTTCAGCCTGCGTAGGGACCAAGGGTGTGCGGTATGGGCCCTTGTTAAACTTTTCTACCGTAAAGTGCTCGACCTCGGGTGCAAGTCTTAGGGCTACCGAAGCGGGGGTGCCATCTCCTCTGCAGAGGATCAAAATTGTGATGGCATGTCTTCGGATCATCCTCAGGGATGTTTCCCAGACCGTCGCCACTGTGCAGATCTAGTGCGACGTAAATGAACAACAACAACAACAATCATCCAGATCGTAATTTCGACCTGAATCAGAGAACGTTATATATATATATATATATATATATATATATATATATATATATATATATATATATATATATATATATATATATATATATATATATATATATATATATATATATATATATATATATATATATATATATATATATATATATATATATATATATATATATATATATATATATATATATATATATATATATATATATATATATATATATATATATATATATATATATATATATATATATATATATATATATATATATATATATATATATATATATATATATATATATATATATATATATATATATATATATATATATATATATATATATATATATATATATATATATATATATATATATATATATATATATATATATATATATATATATATATATATATATATATATATATATATATATATATATATATATATATATATATATATATATATATATATATATATATATATATATATATATATATATATATATATATATATATATATATATATATATATATATATATATATATATATATATATATATATATATATATATATATATATATATATATATATATATATATATATATATATATATATATATATATATATATATATATATATATATATATATATATATATATATATATATATATATATATATATATATATATATATATATATATATATATATATATATATATATATATATATATATATATATATATATATATATATATATATATATATATATATATATATATATATATATATATATATATATATATATATATATATATATATATATATATATATATATATATATATATATATATATATATATATATATATATATATATATATATATATATATATATATATATATATATATATATATATATATATATATATATATATATATATATATATATATATATATATATATATATATATATATATATATATATATATATATATATATATATATATATATATATATATATATATATATATATATATATATATATATATATATATATATATATATATATATATATATATATATATATATATATATATATATATATATATATATATATATATATATATATATATATATATATATATATATATATATATATATATATATATATATATATATATATATATATATATATATATATATATATANTATATACACAGTCCAGTCACATTAATGTGACCACTACCTACTTTCGACGTCAACGTGAAATAACCAATCACAGAAGGCAGGTGGCAGCACATTACAGTGGATTGTATATATAGGATATCCTAAGGCATCTGAAAGCATTTCAATCGTTGGCGTAATGCAGAAACATAGCGATTTATCCGACGTCCAAAAGGGCATGATTATTGGCTTTCGGGTCAAGGGTGGAAGTATTTCGGAAACGGCTGATTTTGTGAACTATTCGCGTGCCGCCTTGATAAAAGTATACCGTGCATGGCAAAATGTCACTATACAAGACAAGCGGCGTGGCACATGTGGTGTACCACGGGCCATAGATGACAGTGGCGAACGAAGGCTACAGAGATGCGTTCAGGTGAATAGACTTGCAACTGTTGAGCAACTGACCACCCAGATGAATAAAGGGGCTACCAAGAGTGTATCCGCAACCACTGTTCAGCGAACGTTGCTGCGCATGGGCCTCCGCAGCAGACGCCTGGTTAATGCACCTATGCTGACTGCTGTTCATCGGCGACGAATGCTGGAATTTGCACGCCAGTACTGCAACTGGACGACCACAGAGTGGCAACAGGTGGCTTTTTCTGATGAATCACGTTTTATGCTCCATCGCACAGATGGACGTTGGCTTATACGGCGTGAAACGTCTGAAAGCAAACATCCTGCAACAATTGCAGGAAGGCTGCAGGCTGGAGGAGAGAGCATTATGGTTTGGGGAATGTTTTCCTGGTATTCACTGGGTGCACTCATCATTGTGGAAGGCACGATGAATCAGCACAAGTACGCATCTGTCCTTGCGGACCATGTCCTCCCCTACATGCGAATGATTTTTCCTCAGAATGATGGCATCTACCAGCAGGACAATGCGAGGTGTCATACAGCTCGCAGTGTATGTGCGTGGTTCGAAGAGCACCAGGATAAATTTACCGTACTCCCCTGGCCAGCAAACTCACCGGATTTAAACCCAGTCGAGAATCTGTGGGACCACCTCGATCGGGTTGTTCGCGCCATGGATCCTCAACCGCGTAATCTAGCGCAGCTGGCCACGGCACTGGAGTCGGCATGGCTCAATATCCTAGTGAACACCTTCAGAAACCTATTCGACTCTCTTCCTGCACGTCTCGCAGCGGTTCGCTCTGCCAAAGGTGGTTATTCTGGATTTTGACAGGTGGTCACATTAATGTGACTGGACTGTATATGTATATATAATATAAAAATCTACTCTTAAGTGACATAGTTTTTTAATTTTTGATTTTATTTTAATCTTCGAAATTAGTTTCAATTAGGGTAAATACGAATAGCGACATCTTAAAATCCAAATAACTACAGTTAACAGCTTATACTATGCTAAAAACAACTTATACTATGCTAAAACAAACTTATACTGCAATGCTGTATCAGTTGCATTTACAAGTACCCGACTATTCTAATATTTAACTGTAAGTCATAGATGCTACTCATATTTGAAGCTACAGTAGCAGTTTCATTTTTCAAGAAAAGAGTTCTATAGATGTAGCTTCTGAATACAATTTATTTATTATTGTTCTTTTGTTCTTTTTTATTTCTCTCTTCTTTTGGACTGAACAAACAAATCTATCTATATGCACTCATAAATTCGAAAAAAGGAAACAATTTTCACTGAACTCTACATATGAAATCTCTATATAATGGTGATTTCGTCTCATTTCGCATCTTATATAGGCAAGATTAATTTCTTCCTGAAATAATGATTTCTGAATTAAGAAGTGTGAAGGGATACATTTTAATTGGAACAGTATAATATTCTTAATTTACAGTACACTAAAAGTACTATTATTAAATAAATAGGAAGATTGTTTTTACAAAAAAAAAGAATAAATCTTTCTTTTAGATCCATTAATTGCACTTATTAATCCACTCACGCGCGGAATGAGTTTTCTTTCCTCGCAAAGATCCATCCTAACACATTAATGGGAAATTATGTCCTTTCCCCCAAATAGCAGTTCTTTCAGATGCAATATAGTGAGGAAGGTGTTATCCGTGTAAATAGATAAGTATCTCGTGTAATGAGACGCCGGTTAATTGAATCCCTTAAAGGATTGAGTGATAGCCTCTTTTCGGCCTGTCAGCACCTCGGAATCCCAAGCAGGCCATTATTAATTCCTTCACCGTCGGAGCACTGCAAATAGCTGATTTGTCTTATATAAGCTTTAATGAATACCGAGACATTCGAATAACTCTTCATTTTTAATTAAATATCAAAGGACGCTATTTACGTTCCGATTGAGTTTAATTTGTATAAAAGAGAAGCGATTGTCATTTGATTTTTCTAGTCAGGCAGTGATACTGAAAGAAGTACATTTTGTGCATTTTACTACTATTCACCTTTTTTATACTAAGGGGACCGGAAAGTAATATCGTCTCGGTCCATTAAATATTCGTTAGTCTGGAAAACAAATGCACTTTTTTCTATTAATTTCCGTTCATTTTCTATCCATTTTCATTCGTTTTCTATCCATTTCCATTCATTTTCGATCCATTTTCATTCATTTTCGACCCATTCCCATTCATTTTCTATCCATTTTCATTCATTTTCGACCCATTTCCATTCGTTTTCGATCCATTTCCATTCATTTTCGATCCATTTCCATTCATTTACGATCCATTTCCATTCATTTACGATCCATTTTCATTCATTTTCGATCCATTTTCATTCATTTTCTATCCGGCATTGAAAGGTTGTTGCTAACGCGGTTGAATACATTATAGATTAAAAAGTTATTGTGAATGATTTATTGTGAATGAGCAAAATTGGTGGTTGTTGACAATCACATAGTCGCTTTGGTAAATGCTCGAAATATATACGGGGTCAATTTAAGTACCACTGTCCGGTATACATTTGCCCGGTATACCCTACACTGATGTTTTTTTAAAGTTAAGTGCCACTGCCCGGTTTGCATTTAATCTGCACTCCGAACACTGATGTTTCTCTTAATCTATCCTCAGCAGATATTAATATATCGAATAAATATAATAATATCAATGAATAAATTAATATTAAATCTGATATAACAATTATTTTGGACATTCACCAAAGCGACTATCTGATTGTTGACATTCACCGGCGAATGTCGACATTCTCCTGATTTAGGTCAGTTACGGTAACATATCTATCCTCCGATAGAGCTGGGTTGTCTCAGCCTTTCATCCCTTTAGTGGGTCCATAAAATCAGTACCAAAAGTATCCTTCAGGACTAAACACAAAGGGTTTCGCGTTCTGTTGACCTTCTAACTCTTGCACCACAGAGACAAAAGTCAAGAGAACAGCAGGTGTTGGTCCTCGATTTGGCTGTCACCTCACTGAATTTAGTTTAGTTTAGTTAATATATAAAATTATACAGATTCAACCTCGCACATTTTATTTTAATCGAAATTAACGTACCCAAAAATGCTTGATCAATTTCTCTGCAAATGACAGCTTAAATCCTGACGGTTTCTTCTACGATTATTACTAGGGATTGAAAGTCTCGCTTTAATTTATTACAACGTTAATAAATCATTATTTCAAAAGTCTTCTGGTATCTTAGATTCTATTTTATAACCGTCGTTGAACAGCAGACCCAATTTTTGGGTTTACGACAACTGATGTTCATTTCCAAAGCCTTGTCATCTTGAACCCAATCCAGAAGACAAGGGAACTACTGGATCAAGTATTGGGAGAAATTGGTCTTCGCGGAGGACTTCCTGATGGAACTAATCCGCATTTGCGTTACATGGAGAGGAAGACCACGAGAACCTCCTACGGTTGGCCTTACGGCAAGGGAACTCTAACCCATGGTCCGTTTACCACTGAGAATATTTCAAGCCAGCACTGTGATCGGTGCAAACCGGATGTGGAATTCGTGTCGTCCAGCCATCGCCGGGATCGAACCCGGTTCACCTCATTGAAAGACGAACTCTCTATCCCCCTAGCCATCGCGGCTCTGGCATCTTAGATTGGCTAAAGTTAAGAAGCTTGAAAAACCGTCTTTGTGATATAAATTTATTTATTTGTTTTTTTCTTCCTGACTAGAGAATTCCGCCTATGCTCGTTTGTGCCTAATCCCGACTCAATACCTCAGCTTTTAAGATTTATTTAAATATATTAGGAAATTCCCGTAAGAGCCTTTCTACCTTCTTAGCACAGGAGAATTAGGCTAAAAATAATTGTTGCCTGGAACTATTTCCCACAAAGACTGGGCTTGAATTTTTTATCTTATTGCTTGCATCGTTTTGAGATACTAAAAGCTTAGAAAAATTTAACCTAGAGCCCCTGAATTAGACATTCCTATTATAGTAGCCTTAATTTAACCTTGCAAAATGCATTTTAGGTGGTGTTTTTTTTTCTAAAAATGGCCAACATATTTAGAAAAACAATGCAAACTTAAAAAAAAGAATTAATAACTAAAATCTGCAATTTTATGCTGGAAAATATATAACGGTTTTTTGAAGTAAAATGTTTCCGTGTATGAGTAGGCGGCAAACTGTATAAGTGGTCAAAACGTGTTCTATTGAACTTAAATAGGTGAAAAATTTTGAAAAATTGTTCAAAGAATTTAAAAATGTCAAATACTTGCATACAGTCCCTAGTCAAATGATTAGACGCACTCTAAGATTCTATGTAAAATCTTAATTATCAGGTGATACTCTATACAGCTTTATTGTTTTTACACAGACTGTTTGCACTTGTTTACGTTCCTGTATTAATTTGTTAACATAGTAATGGAATACGTTAAAAATAAATACAAATAGGAAGTATAAAAAAAATCTAAATAAAAGCCTATTACATGTATGTTTAAGAATGAAAGTATTGCTTATAAACTAGTGTAAAGCATGCCATTATTAATTAACACTACAGCATGCTAATAATTTGTTCTAATAATTATAATATACTAATATAATACCAGATATAATAAATATTATATAGTTATATAATATATCGTCTGCTTTATCCAATCGTCGAATATATATTATATATCATCTCATTTAACCCATTGATACACTAACGTAAACAAGTGCAAACAGTCACATAAAAACAATAAAGCTGTATAGAGTATCACCTGATAATTAAGATTTTACGTAGAATCTTAGAGTGGGTCTATTAATTTGGTGGGACTGTGCAAAATAAAAGTATTTACTTTGATAAACTTTTACATTACATAAAAAAAATTAATGAAAGGAAGAAACACAAACTTGTAAGTTGAGTACGCCGAATCTAATTTGAAATTTAAACAGAGCAAAGTATAAAATTGCACAGTATAAAAAAAAGGAAAATATTTCTACCACCAATATCTTTTGCTAATCTGAATAACACTGCGGAAAAATTAACATCAAAACTAACATGATTTAACTCAGAAATCTGTGTTCGCATCATGAAAATTTTCATATCAGTATGTTTCTCATTTTTTTTAATGAGCAAATTTAACATTTTTTTCATTTATTAGTTTCGCCAAGAGGTTTCCCTCTCATGCTGGAGTTTTTAGTGCCTAGTTACGACAAAAATTTCCAGTTAGATAGACGAGTTAATTATTTCCTATTATTATTTTCAATTTAATTTATGAAGTTCTTTGTAATCGTTTGGCTACCTGTTTTATTTAGTTCGATTAAATGTTAATTCTTTAAGGATGTTTTGGATGACAAAAGTGTATTTTGTAAAGTAAACTAAGATTAATTTTAAATATTTTAATTTCTCACAATTGTTTTTTGTTCGTATATTTATCTCAATGTTAAGCTTATTAGCATGCACTATTAATTCCTTTTAAACTAATGGAAGAATAAATACGGAAAAGTGTTCGGCAAGTCGATTTTTTTCCTTCGTCTGTTTACAATAGATTTTATTGTAATAATATAAATATGAATATGGATAAATATACGAAGGGGAAAAAAGCAGTTTGTACGTATAATAGAACTAAATTTAAAAAAACAATTGGGTATAATATGAAAAAAACACAACTACTTCGATTTAGTAGGAACAACATATGACGCAATGCTAAACGAATGGAATTTAGTTGTTGTTTATTTAGTTATTGTTATTAGTAGTTGTTGTTATTTGTTTTAGTTGTTGTTGTTTATTTAATTGTATTTAGTTTCAATTACTTTTGTTTATAATGCAATAAAATCTGGCGAGCAGCTATTTAAACGATCGAACACTTCGTTTGTTTATTTGTGGCTTGAAGTTAGGCTCGCAGAAAATGCCGTTCATGGGTTAAATTTAGTAGGAACAACACAACCTGTGACGTAGGCTATATTATACCCAATTGGAGTTGATAAAAAATATGACTCAGAATTATATTGTTAAATTTTCTTGATTTAAAAATTATAAACTGGCCATTACGTTAAATAACATGCTAAAAAACACTTGTTGTTTAATATACTAAAAATAGTTAAAATAAAATAATAAATGTCAGCAATGAGAAAATAAGAGCCCCAGTAGAGAGAAAAAAAACTTAATTCTATTTAAAAAAAGGGATGCAAATAACACAAAATTACGTTGACGAAGATCAGCTATTAAAGAAACTTGGTCAGAAAGCTTAAAAACTTTCTATATGAATGAATAATCATTAATGTAGACATTTTAATTATAATGCTAAAAAAACTTAAAAGAAAGCAAACTACATGGTTATGTTATCTTACATTTAAAAAAGTAAATTATGATTTTTTTTAAAATTTCGGGAAATAAGTAAATTTTCTCCAAACAAGAAAAAAAACCAAAATCATGAATTTAAAACCTTTTAAAATGCCTCGAAAATTAGAAAACGATACAAGATATTTTTTGTAATAATAGTACGCTGCTGTAAAAATTTAAAGTATTACTGCGATTAGTTTTCCTATAATATTAAAAAATATAATAATCCCTAAGCTTTTAATTTGATTTCTTAGGGATATTTTTTAAAAATTTCTAAGCACACTCATTAAGGACTATCATATGGAAACAGCCCGTAGTTTTTATCCTTTTGTAACTAAATATTTTATTAAAAATCTAAAGCCAGCATTAAATTAGTTGTTTGCATCTAATTATTTTCGTCTTTGATCTTATTGGTGTCTGAGGAAAGTTTACTTTAATAATTTTACTCATTTTTGTGGTTTCGTGTGCAATTGTTACAGACGCATAAACAAGTATAGTTCGTTCATCAGGAGTTGGTACTTGGCTCCACCACCTGGAACGAAGAGTTCATTTCAGCGCAGGAGTAAGAGGAGAAACATCTCCGCGTTCGAAATTGAGACAACCCTTAATGCGCGCCAAACGCATATGGTGAATACTTTTTCAGCCACATACTTTATCATCTGCTGTTTTACCTTTCGTTACTCTAGCTTATTACATATATTTTAAATTTAAAAAAATGCTGTTTTCCCAGCAAAATGTCTCATAAAGGACGAACTATTCACTCAAAAGAGAGAAATATCATAAAAAATGGAGCGAAATATTATCAAATTTATGAAACATTTAATGTTAATAAAAATGCATATAAAGTTTGAGAAATAAATATTTTGGTCATACGATCGCCAAATAGCAACCTTGTTAAGGATTTTTCACATTCTTCTTCCAAATATAGCGAAATAGTGTCGTCGGATACCACGTGATGAAGGTGGAGCCAAGTGCCAACTCCTGGTGAACGAACTATACGTGGTATTTTAACATGATTTTTAAATCACTTTCTTGAGTAAATCTTACTTACCCAGAGTTTTTACATTTTCTTGACACTCTGATCTTTTTCACTTTTGTTCCATTTTCTTGACTTCCACTCGAAGAATCTTCCTCTGATGGAGTCTTCTGCATCATCTGTAAAAAATGTATTGGGTGTCAATATTTTTTATAATTATAGTCATTACATGAAGTCATATGAAGCTTTATTAAATCTAGGTTTCTTTCTAGAAAAAAACAAAGTTCTTAATCTACAAAACTCTTGTCCGGCCAGTCTTGACGTACGCTTCTGAAGCTTGGACATTGACAGAACAGGAGGAAAATTGTATCGCGCTATTTAAGAGAAAGATTTTTCGGAGTATACTTGGTGGTGTAAATGAAACCAACAACCGAGATTTAACTTTGAACTGTACAAGATTTATAAGCAACCCGATATTATTAAATACATAAAAATATACGGAATGAATTGGAGGGCCCACGTGATCGAATGAGTGATCGTGATTCAAACTGGAACAAGAAAGCGTGGAAGGCCGCGGTTGAGATGAGCTGACTAGGTGGAGTCTTATTTTCTTGCAATTAAATTAAAATAATTGGAGATCAAAGATAAATCGGAAGTCACTATGGAGAAATCTTCAGAGGAAGGCATTGGCTCATATTGGGCTGTCTGGCCAACTATGATGATGAGGAGTCATTACATAAAAGTAATAATTGACATTCAAAAGATAACTTCAAACATCTATATACAAATCAATTTTAGTCTAGAACATGCAGAATTCAAAAATTGAAGAGAATGGATTTTCGTCATCTCAAGATGTTTTCATTGATGATACTGTAGACGCAAAGTGAGGGAGATACTGTAGACTCAAGGGGGAAAACTGTAGAATCAAAGTGAGTGAACGTGACTATTCAGCAAGAAAAAAGAGGATTCAAAAAGGTAGACTTGGTGACGATGCATGGAAGCACGTCAGAATAATGGGCAAGAGAGGTAAAAGCAACTTCAGGGAGAACCCTGGTTGATGTAAGCAGGGCGCTTCACACGCAATGTAGCAACCTCATCAAGATCCAAAGATTCCCTCCCCCCAAGCAGAAGGCCGCAAAGAATTTAGTGAATCCTTAAATTACGACGACTAATTCTTAATCCAATCCAGAAGATGAGGGAACTCCTGGATCAAGTATTGGGAGAAATTTGCCTTAGTGGCCGACTTTTGATGGATCTAACCAGCATTTGTGTTACATGGAGAGGAAGACCACGAGAATCTCCTTTGACGTCAAAGGCACTCTAACCCATGATTCATTTACCACTGAAGATATTTCACGTCAGCACTGTGGCTGGTGCAAACCGTTCGAATTCGTATCGTTCCACCATCGCTGGGATTCGAACCCGGTTCACCTCATTGGAAATCGAACGCTCTATCCCCTAAGCCATCACGGCTCGTGTAGGAGATGCTATCTGATTATCGTATCTTTAGAAGTTTCCAAAACTTTTCAAGCATTAAAATTTCAGTTAATAATGACGTCTCGTCACAGTGTTGAGATTTTCACTGGTAAAGACCCGTAAAGTTCTACGAGCACGTGATCATGAAGTTATCCGAAAGATGAGAAAAGTTTATCAAACAAAATAGTTCTCTTGGGTTTTTTTTTTGGGGGGGGGGGTTTACTTCGTTGCAAGAAATTAAAATAACTTTCATGCAAACCCAATACTACACCCAACAATACCAGATCATTGCAAAACAAATTAGTCTGAATTTCTACAATAGTAGAAACAAAAATCTTTTTCTGGATTTTTAAATTATTTCATTGTTTATAATCTTTGAATATATGATTGAAAATTTATTAAATTTAGCAAGAGTATGAAACTGTGTATTGAAAAATTTAAATTTTATCTTTGGTAAGTGGACTACTCCTAAAAAAACTAAAAAAAAAAAAGAGCAATCGAAACGAAGAATATTTAGGATGATCTTAAGTAGGTTTCGTATATATTATCGTTTAACCGCTTCTCTGATTATCCCGAATTAACTCGGGTGCGTATATATTGCAAATATTTATCATCCCGAGTAAACTCGTGCTTAGCAGAATGGGTCGGTGCATTTTGTTTTATCACTTTCTAACTCGAGCGGAAGCAAAAAACATTATCTGATGTGATTGGAAGTTTGCCAAGTTTTATTTTAGAGTTTTGGTGTTGGACTGCACACGTGTTTTGCGCGATTGTATATACGATGGTTTCTGAATTTACATAGCAATAAGAGTTTTACAAATCTCACGTATTCCTTCACTGACGTTTGAAAAGTGTCACTTTGTGTTGTCCCTTGTTGTAAGAACTATCATACAAAAACTCATATTTAACATTTTTCGTTTGCCCGAGATAACTTGGGATAGTAAACTGCTTTTAAAGTAAATGTTTCTTACACATAAAAAAAAATTCAAATTTCAACTTAAAACTTTTACATAATATTTTGTTTTGGTTCCGTGTATTATTAATGAAATAAAGAAAAATATGTAGATATCTCTGTAGAGATCTTTCTCCAAAATAATTGGCAATGGAAGTGGTTAATTTATTTTCTTATCACTTCTCACCAGTTTGAGAATTTTTAAATAGTCTAAAAGCTTGAAAATTATTCAGATAAATTGCTTTTTCACGAAATTGAAAAACGCGACAAGAAGTTTAATAATAAAAAAAAAAAACAAATTTTGCTATTTATTTATACATTAGTTTGAAATTTACTAACACGAAGCTTTCAAGTTCCCATTATATGAATGGCAAATTTAAATTCATGGTATATTTCGGTTTTAAAATTGAAAAGTCCCACTTTAAGATTACTTTTTTACTACCTGGAATTAATAGAGTGCAACATAAAGTGTTTTATGACTTTTTTAAATAATGATAAGCAGAAATTTAAATATGACAGACCATTTCCAAATTATTAGACGCACTCTAAGATTCTATGCAAAATCCTAGTTATCAGGTGATACTGATAATAAGGATTTATTGTTTTTACTCGACTGAAACCGGTTCGCACTAGTTCACGTTCGTGTATCATGTGGTTAAATTCGACGATATCTAATATAAATTCGACGATTGGATACATTAGACGATATACTACATAAATATCGAACATTTATTAAACCAGGTATTATATTTGTCTATCATAATTACTAGACCAAATAATTACACACACTGTAGTGTTTTAATAATGACACGATTTGTACGAGTTTATAGACAATACTTTTATATTTAAACATACATGTCATGGGTTTTTATTCAGGAGATTTTTATATATATTTCCATTTGTATTTATTTTTAACGTATTGCATGACAATGTTAACCCATTGATAGACGAACATGAGCAAATGCAAACCAGTTTCTGTCACCTAAAAACAATAAAGCTGTATGGTATCACCTCATAACTAAGATTTTGCAGAGAATTTTACAGTGCGTCGAATAAATTGGCCGGGGACAATATGAAAAAACACACAATATACAAAAAAACAAACATTGATGGCCAAAGGATAAGATATAAATTCTAGAAAATTTTGCTTATTTTTGGATGAAAATATATTTTGCTTGCCATTTTATACTCCCCGTAACTTTTATTTTACAAATAAACTTTTAATTACAGTATTTAAAAACAGATAAAATCCTTGATGATCATTAATTATGTAATAACTATTAGCAACATAATAGTCTGTGTGCATATTTGAACAAGAGTAATGATGCACATCGTCCCATTAGACTCAACAGCAGAATTTAACATGGACGAACATTATCCTTCGACCCACCAAATTCTAACGGGATCATAAAAGAAGGTTGCTTATTCTCTTTAAGAGAATGATGAATGGTGTGTTAGGAAATCATTAAATCACCTCTTCTGATTAAACTCCATTTCAGCCATCCTATATTTAAAATGCTGGTTACTCTTTAATCATAGTTCATCACGATTATTAATTATGTGCATCGTTTGAATTGATTTTCTGGAATTTTATGATTACTCCCATAGTACTTGTCTTTTTTCATGGCATCGAACGAAAAAAAAAATTCTGCATGTAGAAAAAGCTGCATCTGCTCAGTTGCTACAGTTGACTGGAAAAGCTGTATACAGACTCTGACCATATTACTAGACGCACTCTAAGATTCTATGTAAAATCTTAATTATCAGGTGATACTCTATACAGCTTTATTGTTTTTACGCGTCTGTTTGCACTTGTTTACGTTTTCGTGTATCAATGGGTTAACATTGTCATGCAGTAGGTTAAAAATAAATACAAATAGGAAGTGTATAAAAAATCTCCTGTATAAAAACCCATTACACGTATGTTTAAATATAAAAGTATTCCAGATAAACTCGTGCAAATCATGTCATTATTAAAATTGGTCTAATTATTATAATATGCTAATAGAATACTTGATATAATAAATATTCTATATTTATATAATAGATCATCTAATGTATCCTATCGTCAAATTTATATCATCTATCATCTCATTTAACCCATTGATACACTAACGTAAACAAGTGCAAACAGTCACATAAAAAACAATAAAGCTGTATAGAGTATCACCTGATAATTAAGATTTTACACAGAATCTTAGAGTGCGTCTAATATTTTGGACAGGGACTGTAGAGTAAAAGTCAAAATGGTTAAGTGTTGTTTTGAACTACAACTTTTTTTTGTATTAAGTGCTATTTTGCTTTAACAATCTGACACACGAAACTGTATATTACGAAAAGCAAGAAAAAAATGTACTGCAGGCTACAATATGATAACAGAAATTAATTTCAAGAATTAATTTTAAGTTGGTGGATAGAGGCATAAAATTCAGCATTCTATAAATTGCTAGTAATTGCACAGAAAGTTTAAAACTGTCCTGCAAAATATAAAATAATGACTACTTCGCACAATGCCTAGACATTCTATTGAGTGAGTAACGACAAACCTTCAGGCACTTTCTGCAATGACTAAGCTAAGAATATAATAATCTTAATTTTCATGCTTTGCCTGAAGAGCATTTGTCTTTCTATAATATGTCTAGGCATTCTATACAATGACAGAACAAAGTATTTCATAATTCTCATATTTTATACTCTGCTTCAAAGCACCACTCCATTTATACATTACTGCGCATTTTATAGATTATCAGCATTTCATACAATGAAGGTAACAGATACAACTTATTTCAGAAACAGTAAAAGCTTATTTAGAACGCTGTGGAATCTCAATTAATTATTTTTAGAACTCTGTAAAGTACAGCATTTAGGCTGATTTCCAAAGTTTTATTTTTCTTTTTCTGAGCTTTAATAATAGTATAGACGTAAAAAAAATAATAATAACGACAGTCTTGATTTTCATTACAGATTTAATAGACGGTGTTCCTTTATCTCAATATTTAAAAATAATAATAATTATAACAAAAGTTTTATCTTCAATTTTTTCTGCTCCATCAGTTTTAGTTTTACTTTTTATTAAAGACTTTATTTTTACATATTGAAATCTAGAACAGTTTAGTTATTTCGAAACTAATTACGTAATCAGTGGCGTATATATATATATATATATATATATATATATATAAACTACATGGTTATGT